TGATGGAAAGTTTGGCAACTGAACTAGAGAAACTTCAGTTGAATTTGAGTTTTAAATATATATATATATATATATATATATATATATATATATATATATATGTATGTAAATAATTTGAATTGGCAGGTCTGTGTGCTTTCTGAGTTCGAACACACATGGGTGTTGGGGACCTTTGCTGGTAGATGCGCAGGCAATTGACACCCATGGTTGAGGCCACAAGGAGGCTGTTGTTTCTAGAAGGTTGTGGTTATCGGGTCCTGGTGTCCCCCTGAAAGGAGAAGTGTGTCTCCTTCTGTCAAACAGCTCTACTCACATTATTCCCCATCCTCTCAGCAGCATGAGGGATTTGCTTTTATCGGGATCACGTGCCCCAGGCAAGCTTCCTTCTATCTCAGCTTCTTCAGCAGAAGCTGTAAGATCTTATGGTGGGGTGTGGTTTAGAATCTACATGTAGCATGTGATGGATCTGTGGTTCACAGCCAACTTTTAATCCCTAGAGTGTAGTTAGTGTTCAGGGCAGAGCAAGATTCAAGTCTGTAATAGTTTACTGTAACAGTCCCATTCCCTCGAAGGCAGGATTAGCCTAGACCTGCACAAGATGGGAAACACCTCAGCAGAGGAGGAAAAAAAAAAATCCCTAGCAGGTTGGAAGAGGGGAAAGACAGGTAGAAGGGAGATGGATAGGAAATGAGCCTTAGGGATGACTGGCCCTGAGGATAGCCGGGTGGAAATGAAGCTGAGTGGAGCTTCACCAAGAGCAGACCGGTAGGATAGAGAAAGGCAAGTCAGAGACCCTTCTGGGAATGAGGAGAGTGAACTGTACCCCACTGGCTCCTGGGGACCAACAGGGACTGCTGAGTTCATTCCGAAGACGGAAAACTCCTAATTATCTCATCTTTGCAAGTGGGTAGCTCTGAAGGTATGAACACAGGATGATGTCCTGTAAGATTGTAAAATATTAAATAGTTCTCTTTTGGTACTGGCATCTAGAATCTGGCCTCTCTCTCTCTCTCTCTCTCTCTCTCCCTCTCTCCCCCCACCTTTAAAAACAACCACTCCATTTTAGTGTGTGTATGGGCGTGTGTGCGCTCACAGTGATGCTCTTGTGGCAGTCAGAGAACAACTTTCAGGTGTAAGCTCTGTCCCACCATCATGCGGGCCCTAAGGACTGAACTCAGTTAATCGGACTTAGTGGCCAGCACCTTAACTCGCTGAGCCATCTCACCCTATCCTGCCTTTATTTGAATAACATTGTCTATGTCTTTCCTCCTAGAGAGGAAACAATCACCAAGAACTGTGGCGAAGATAGGGAAATGACCCCCAACACGGATGTGGAACAAGAACCTCCCAGCAAAGTCAACCTCAGGGTCCCTCCAGCTCCACCTCCTTCTCCAGCTAATGCTACAGACATAAGCAAGTACAAATTAAACTAAGGTGGGCTTGTACGTACATGCCAACACAGGAGCTCACTTGGGGTCTCTGTGCTTGCTTTTGAAGACTATCCTAGAAAACCTTGTCTTCGCTTTTCCTGCTCTAGGGCCACTGTTGGCCGATGCCTGTCCTCACATGCTGATTAACTTTCCTCACACTGACAGAATACCCGACAGAACAACTTAAGGAAGGATGTGAGGGTTTATTTGCGCTTACGCTTTGAAGTGCTGTAGCTTAGCCTGGCGGGAAAGGCCTGGAAGCAGGTGGGCTCACGGTGTAGAAGTGTGGGCAGCTGCTTGTTCATCTCTCATCAGACGAGAGAGAGAGAGAGAGAGAGAGAGAGAGAGAGAGAGAGAGAGAAAAGGAAAGAAAGAAAAAAAGAGGCAGAGCACAAAGCAGGACCAGGCTAAAACCTCAGGGGCTTGTCCCCCGGTGCAGCTTCCTCCAGCTAAGTTTATCTCCAGAAGACCCCACAGCCTCCCCAATAATGCCACCACCTGAGGGCCAAGTGTTCAGACACGCAAGCCTGTGGGGGACAGTTCACATCCAAACTCGCACCCGACTAACTCACATCAAAGTAACTTGAGTTTTCAAGCAGAGTCTCTTGAGACGTGTGTGGTTGGTTTTGTTCTTTCATTTTGGGCCATGCCACATGGACCATTGCTGGTTGTCCACTGTATTTGAGTTTTTAAAAATTGTTGGGTCTTGTTTATAATAATGAGCTCTGAAACAGTTGAAAATCCAGGCCTCTGTTACAGTAACTCTAAAGGTCTGAGGTCAGGGCCTGGAGAGTTGGCTCAGTGGTTAAGAGTACTTGCTGCTCTTGCAGACAACCTGAGTTTCCAGAGGCTTACAACTGAATGTAACTGGAGCCACAGAGGCCTGGATGTCTCTCTGGCCTCTATAGGCAACTGCATAATACACACACACACACACACACACACACACACACACACACATAATTATAAATATGAACCTAAAAAAGATCCGTGGTCCAGAGAATCTTGAAGTGTTTGAGGTTCTCAAACCGTATGCCTGGGCACCTATATAGTCCTATGCACTTTTCATGCTAAGCTAGCTGCATTCCTAATCCTTGTGATGATGCTAAGGCTATTGAGTTTGAAATTTTCTGTCAGTATTTTCAAAATTTACTTCTAGGCCGTTGAAGTGATTTTTCAAAGTCTGTAACAGAACACACTAGCCTTACAGGCAGCAGACATCACAGGATAATTTGTTGGGGAACAGTACACCTCTTGAATGTCACACCCAGGCCTTAGTAGACCCCGTGGGGCCTCTGATGACTTAGGGGTTTCCCTGAATGGTTTAAAAGCACCAGACAATGTGACCATTGAGATTTACAACGAAGAATATGAATGCTGGTCTGCCATCCTTGATTTCATCTCTGTCCCCACAAAGCCCATTTTGCAAAAGTGTTTGGAGTCTCCTAACCCCGGCTAGTAGGCTGTGTTCTCTTCTTGAACTTTGGCCCCAGGGTTGGGCAAGGAGGGAGCATACCCTAAAACCTCTCATTGCCATCTGCTCGACACACACAACCTCATCCTTGGTCAAGTGAGGAAACCAACAACCTGGGTTCTCCTGAGTGGTGGAAGCAGGCCAAGCACAAATGCTCTTCGGTGAGGGCGGGGGTGAGGGTGGGGGGAATGAAAAGTTTAGCTTGACTGACACTCCAGCGGGATAAAGTCCAAGCTGAACTGGCAAGATAAAATATGCTACCGCTATGCATCAGAGAGAAGGAAGTTAACTTCAGTCACTGTAAAGTCGAATGAACTCTGGGTAATAGCTCAGGGTGTAAAGTGTTTGCCTTATAAGCACCGAGACTGAGTGTGAACCCCAGAAGCCATGTGGGAATTTAAAAAGCTGAGTATGGTGGTGGGTACTGGTGATCCCGGAACTCCAGGGAGAAGGTGGGAGGAGTTTTGGAGCTCACTGGCTCGACTTACGGCAAGTGCCAGGTTAAGTAAGAAAGCCTGTCTCAGGAAGGAAGGGAAGAAGGAAGGAAGGGAAGAAGAAAGGAAGGAAGTTGGGGCTGAAGAATGATATCCCAGGTTGTCCTCTCATTTTTACACACCTTCATGGACACACACACACACACACACACACACACACACACACACGTTGTCATAGGAACACATAGGTATACACCCCCCTACCCACAAAGCAATGCTATGGACTGGAGGGAGAAAGTTATTTTCTGGGTGGAAAGCTTTAGTTTTGGTAAGACGAAATGAGTTCTGTATATGGTGGTGATGGTTGGCACAAAACTATACACACTATAAAAAAAAAATCTATGCACATTAAAAACAGTCAAGATGTGATCCAAGCCTAACTACAGAATTTCAATCCTCAGGTCTCACAACAAGGCTAGAGGAAACTGACTCCTTTCTTTAAACTGTCCTCTGAGCACACACACTCAACAGCATGTGTAGTTATTTTTAAGTGGTTAAGATGGTAGTTTGTATTGTATGTGTTTTATTGCAATTTTTAAAGTTGGAAGAAGAGTTCTGTAAGGTTTGCTCACCTGAGAAATTGTGGCTTGGGAATATGCTCACCTGAGAAACTGTGGCCAGGTGTGATGATGCGGGCCTTTAATCCCAGCACCCTGGGGGCAGAGGCAGGCAGATCTCTGAGTCTGAGGCCAGCGGAGTCTACAGAGTGAGTTTCAGGACAGCCAGGGATATGTAGAGTGACCCTCAAAACAAAACTAAACAAAAAAAAAATCTGGTCTCTGTAACAACAGATAAATCCTGAAATGAACCTAGAAAAAAAAAAAAAAAAAAAGGCTAGGCTGAGGGAAAGAGACCAAGATTGTTCAGGAAGAGGCAAGGACACAATCAGAGAGAGGTAGGAAGGTGTGTGCTCCACTGTTGACCTGGACAGAGCATGAGAAAGCAGGCCCAGGCCTCGCAGACTGCAGACGGTCGGACACTCCCACACGCATGCTCACACGCATGCTCACATGCCTGTCACATCTCGCCGGCATGCCATCCAAGCCAGGGGCGTACTGACAACTGGAATCTGTGTTTGGAAGCAAAGATTTCCTCAGATCCCAAGGACAGCAACGTTACGTAAGATAACTTTATTACACAGGGCGAAGGGCTACGCATTGCCCAGCCACAGGCCGTCTGAAGCCTTAGAAGCCCACCGTCGTGAGTGTATCTTGGGCGGGAGCGGTTCCACCCACAAGAGCCTTCCCGCTGCAGAACTGCTGCTGCTTCTCCAGGCTTATCGCAACCACACAGCTTGCAAGAGCAATGGTTTCCATGAGGACACGACCGTGCCGATAGCTTTTGCTCCAGATTGCCGCAAGGTATATAATTTCTAAAAGGATGCACACGGCTTTAAAAGCTGACAGAGGAGAGCATCGTCCATGCGGCTGTCCAAGCCCCGGGATTGTATCAGTCAGAGCGTAGTTGGGCACGTTGACCTGGACGAATGGAACCTTGAGCAAAGGAAAGCTCCGTGCATTGGGGCTGGCTCTCCCCTGCAGCCGCTTCGCCAGGGAGCCCCGAACTCCACCGCCTTCTGCCTTTGCTGGTAGGGGCAGGGGCTCCTCACACCTCAGAGAGCTTGATCTCGTAGGTGACCATGTTAAAGTTGTCCCAGGCAAAGAGCTTCCTCTCCAGGGGATTGTAGTCAATCATGCTGCTGTACCTGTAGCGGTTCTTGAATGGGATGGCCAGGGTCTTGCTGATCCCCGTGCCGGTGTCGTAGGCAAAGTTGACGGTTGCCTGGGCTGAAGAGTAGCTGCTGACCGTGTACAGGGTGCCGCAGATAACGAAGGCGTTGGCCACGGACTGCTTGCGGATGTTGGTCTCCCACGTGCGCTCGAGTTCCAGGTTCTCCGGGTTCAGTTTGGAGAGGACTATGGCTCCCTTGGCTTCCTCTGTGCTGTAGACGACCCAGAGGCCGCTCTCGTCCACCGCTAAGTCAATGTCTGTGTAGCCGCCCCAGGCGTAGGGGAACTGTCCGTGGTAGCCGGCTCCAGGAATGTCCTTCTCCGCCTTCACCGTCTCGGTGTTCAGCTCATACCTGAGCACGGTTCGGGACTCGGCCCCCTGGAAGTAGAGGCTCCCCGAATACACCACGGCGCCCGTGCTCTCCAGAGCCCGGGGGAGCACGTGAACCTTTGAAGGGTAGCCCTGCTCGAACTGGCTTATCTGGCTGTACTCAAACACCTGGCGGATGCCTGTGCCGACCGTGTCAATCCTCCAGGTGGTCTCCTGGGTGTAGGGGTGGACGGGCTTGGGGTCTCTCATCCACACGCCATACTTCCCGGTGATTGTCTCGGCAGTTCTCAGAGTGACTGGCTCTCCTACCCAGACTAGTGCTCCACAGCCTGACGAATTAAGCAAACAAAAGATGCCATGTATCTACTCTCTTTGAGTCTTCCAAATACAAGCAGCAGGAGGGGAGGAGCAAAGCAGAGAAGGCAGGGACAGTGTGGTTGACATCTGAGCCCTGCCACCCACCGACCGTGTGACCAATGAGGTGCTTCGCTCTGTGAGCCTTGACTTCCTCTTGTGTTTTTGTTTTATTTTATGTGCCGTGGTGTTTTGCCTGCAGGTATGTCTGTGGGAGGGTGTCAAATCCCCTGGAACTGGAGTTACAGACAGTTGTGACCTGCTAGGCGGGTCCTCTGGAAGAGCAGCCAGTGCTCATAACCACTGAGCAATCTCTCCATCCCCTAGCTTTCTCATTTATAACACAGAATAAGAGTTTTGGGTAATGATGTTGTCAATGTAGAGATAATTAGATGTGTTTGGTTTAGAGAAATACACAGCAAACATCATGTGGCAAGTCTGTGAAGTGAACAGATCTTGCTCTCAGTAAGGAAGAGGCTCCCCAGAGCTCTGAAGAAGCTCATTGAGCTTGTCAGGGATGTGTGGGTATTTATTACTCTTCACGTCTTTCAAATTGGGTCTATTTTATTTACAAAGAGAAATCAGCTCATTGTAGGCATAATCTATATGGCAAAGTTTTTCAAGCTTCACTTGAGGGGCTACATAGTTGATGCATCTCTTTAAATATCATAAAACAGAGTATAATCTATTTCATGTAATAAAGAGCTAGCTCAGAGTTTCAGTTTACTGGATTTAAGATAAATCTCTGTCCTTTTATGGGTGCCTTCAGTTTCCTCACAAAAGGCAAACAGTGATGCTCATTTATTGGGGATTATACTTTAAATGCTTCAGAACATTCCTAAAGACCCTTCAGTGCTAGCAGAGATGGTTAATAACAGAGTCGACATTATTTTCTGGAAACAACAGCCACATTTCATAGGATAGATTTTTGAGAGACAAATGCAATTTTCCTTGTTGGATAAAGATCAGAAAAATACCTTTAGTAACAGACGAGATGCTCAGTAAATACGTGGCCTTCCAAGGGTGGGGGTAGGAGATAGAGCATATAGGAAAAGGGTTGACTTCCTGGTCACCTGCCCAGACAAGGCATCAGAGGATTTCTGCTCCCCTCCCCCCAGCTCTGCTTCTTGGGAAGTCACCTGTCTTCTCTCCTGGGTGAACAGTTGCTCTATCCAAACAGAACACAAAACAAGACACACACAGGCCAGGTGGGCTCAAAAGGGAAGATTTCTAACTTCATACCGTTGTCTCCCTCTTTGCTCCTGGGCAAGCCAGATGGATTCTCCTTCAAGATTTGGGAAGCAGGAACCTCAGTTAACTCTGACTTCAGTTCCTGGAAGGCCAACGTGTCCAAATTCCACTGAGAAACTGTATTCAAAGAGAGAAAAATGATACTGGAGAAGAAATGGCACAAGGATAGACATGATGTTTGATGGTTTCCCCTAACACTTGATATTTGAGATTTTCTTTGGGGGGCCAGGTAAAGGAAGATGTGGCATGTTTGAACCACATCAGCAACTCATTGGAACTGGGATAATGGCTTCCCTGGTGTTCGTTCTTTCTCTTACTTTGTGACTATTGAAAATTTTGCACAATTAAAAAGTTTACAAACAATATATTTGCATAGCTCCCTGTTTCACATGGACTTGAATATTCAGCACAAAATAAAACACAGTAAGAACTGTATGTGACTTATATAAATTCCACTAGGGAACTTGGTTGTTAGTGAAGTATGGCTTCAGGGATTCAAACACAGTTATTAGCACTCTCTTAAATGTTTGAATTTCAACAACTCAGTATTTACTGAAACTAAAGGGTTCTCCCTTGTCATATGTGAAGAGCTTACAAGAACAAATCAGCTTTTGGTTTTTAAGCTATATTTTTATTTTCACATGAGCAATTATGTATGCTGACGGGATAGGATGACATTTCTGTACATGTGTACATTGATTAGTGATCAGCTCAATGTAATTCCATCTTCATTACCTTAGACACTTGGTATTTCTGTGTGCTGGGAACATTCATAACCTTCCAAAACTATTTTGCAGCTAATTGTTAGTAACACATGTCAGTAAGCATGTCGGAGGTTCCTCTAGGCATCCCTTGGAAGAAGCTACCACACCAGGGTCCCTGTGAGCCATGTTTTCCTGGCATCGAAGGCCTTTCTGTTTGCAACTGATAAAAACTCATATTTGACAGTAGGTTAGCTTTCTGTTTGGTGTCTTACTGAGGGCAAGATGTACATTAAGAAAAGACCTGTACACACCGGCCAGTCAGCAGGAAGAAAACAAGAGGTCCTCTTTAGCTTCACAGACAAAGTGCAAAGAAAAGCAGAAAGTTAGGCATTTTCATGGATGACTTTCTGAAGAGAACCAAAACATTGACACAGACACTAAAAAGTATGTGTGTGTGCGAGTGTGTGTGAAGAAATTAGCAGCTATTTATCAATAGCCTTTCCCATAGTTTAAAAAACAAACCCGACTCCTGGTGCCCTGAAGGTCAAAGACCGAAGCCAGGCTTTAGCACTGCCATCTGACCTAGTGGGATGGAATGACTGTCGCCACTGAGTGCCATGCCCCAGGTACTTCGCTCTGTGTTTACCTCCTCTTCCCCTAACAGTCCTGCTGTATGGGATAAGTAACTGCTGTTATCCTCATCAGCAAGTGAGAAAAGGGTCAGAAGGGGTGACCTTCGATACTCTACCAAGCTTCACAACTAGTAAGTGTTGGGGCTGGGAGCTGAACTACTGTCTTCTGAAGTCAGGGGCTCTGTCAGCTATGAACAGACTCTTGGCTCTCGCAGCCAGACGCTCCCTTGCGCTCTGTAGAATGAACAATGTTGAACTATCCCAGCAGAGGGCGCTATAGTGACATCCGGTGAGGAGGAAGGTGAGCGGTTCCCCTTCCTTGGCTTCCCATCAGGTGCTCTTGAGGGCATCCTGAGGTTCCTAACTCTGCATGCGGTTCCTTTGAAACTTCAGCCTGGTGGTGCACACATTCCGTAAGGAAGCCAGAGCCAGCCCGGGGACGTAGGTGCTCTGTGCAGCGCCACAGGTCCATGGGGGCCTTCCTCACGTGCAGACAGGAGGACTCAATCTGCTGCTCAGGCCAGGACAAACAGTACCACTGCTCTCCTACAGGCAGAGAGTCCCTTCCCTAGCGAGGTCTGAAGTTCTTCCAAGATCTGTCCATCCTACCCCTGTAGCCCAGGCTGCCATATGGAAATTACTTTCATGGAGTTTGTAATATTCGCTCTGTCACCATCATTAATAATTTTCTCTGTGGTTAGGTATAGAGCAAAGGACTATCAGGGAGGGACAGCGCCCTCTTGGAAGGGAAAGTAGAATAGATAGGTGAGGGGTGCGGGGAGGACCAGACTGGGGAGGGGAGGAAAGAGGGAAGGGGTCAAATGAGGAAACACAGGGAGGGACAGCTAAAATCAAAGGCTATTTGATGAGTTGTAGAGTGACCCCCACCTGGGGCAGAGCTCAGGCCCCAGGTGATTGCTCAGCATACCCAGAAGAGCACAATTGCCCATCCGATCTTCTGCCAGGGAGGCAGATGCACAGGACTGTGGAACTGCGTCCCCATCCTGGTCCCAGCACGACCCCACACCATGGTTGAGAACAGCATGGTTGAGAATCGGCTCTGATTCTCTTCCTGTCTTCCCTCGCTCTTGACAGGGAACCACGCCTCAAGTACTTTCCTTGTGGTAAACAAGAGCCCTGGTGACACAGAGGATCAAGGAAAGCCTTCCAGAGACCACAGGGCTCATTTCCACTTGGCAGGTGCAACGCTTTGTGGTCATCTCAGCCAGGAGCTTCTGGCAGCGATCAGATTCCCCGAGGAAGCCACCTGGCATGTCGCTGAAGCAGGGGAGCTTTGTGCAGAGGGGCCTGGACCGAGCCAGAAGTTGTAGTTTCCTTTAGTGCTGCCGTGTCCCGGCTGTGGGCCTTTGGGCAGATGAGTCAGGCTCTCTGGGGGCCCGTACTCCATACTCCGCGCTGAACAAATGCTATCAGGTTGTTCTTGAGGATTACATAGGGACCATAAATGAAATAATCCCGAATAAAGAAGTGTCCGAACTCTGATTTCTCCGGAATGTTTAAAATCAGTAACATTCCATTTTGAATATAGAAGGAAAACAAATGATCGTGAAAATAATATTGTATCAGCTATTTGAAGCTTTCATGCTTTTTTTTTTTTTCCTTAACGGTATTGAGATTTATTCCTTCCATCGTTAATTTTTTTTTTAGAGTATCTGCCACTCTCTCTTTAACCTCATACTGTAGGGGAGCTGGACCTACGGACCCAGCCCATTATTAACTAATTTGCATGCACACGCTGATGGCATTGTAAAGATTTTCGTAAACATTTTCTAATACTGTGGGAAAACTCAGTTATTTAAATGGAGAGAACAGTGTTTTTAAAATGTCATGGTATTTCCAGGTTGACACAAGTACTTCGGAAAGGGAAAGCTAGCTGTAGCCTGGTTATCGGTTGTCCTGGCCGCTGTCTCTAGGTCCAGTGTATGCTACAGAGCCTTTATGTTAAGTATGGGCTGAGGTTCTTAATGACTGAACGGCATCTGCACTCAGCAGATGAACTCCACCAGAGGAAAACGTTGCCATTACACTCCAGCGCCTGGATGGCCATTCTGCTTCCTCCTCCTACCTTTTTTCTCAGCCTGATAAGCCATCTGAACACCTCTGGCACTCAGCCCCTTCCTGCCTCCCTCCCCCCCCAGCAGTTGCTATGGCAGCCTGGCTCTTAGAGGTGTCACCTGCCAGCACCACTCATCCTCTCCCTGCCCAAGCTTCCCTGGCTGTGTAGGAGTTTTGTGAGGACCAGCCTGGCATCCTAGTTCTCATAGATGAGGGGCTAGCAGGTCCAGGGATAAGTGTTCCCTGGGGGGCCGAGCTTCTGTTTCTCATGTGGCAAACCATTTGGTGAGCCCCCTCCCTTTCTGTTTTCATTCTCTGAATCACTTGCCTCTGTGTCCTGTTTCTTTTCCTGGCCTCAGGGCCCATGGAATCCACTTGCTCACAGGACCAAAGCCCCGGCCCAGCTTCTTAGCCTCAGAAGGAACTGCTCTTGTGTTTTATCTTTGAGGTGAATAGTATTTCTTCCCTATTTGGGACTTGCATTTGTGTGGGTGTGCACACTGAAATACAGACCCACACATGAGAAATTTCTCTGAATCTGAGAATTACATGCTAAAGTGATGGTGACAGTTTAAACTGTGTATGGGGTATGAAGAAACCTGCCTTCCTGGCCTTTACTTTATCTCCTGAGACTCGCACCCCAGGATGAAGATACTTCAGTTCTTGACATTTCTGCCCATATTCCAGCCCCTCAGAATCCTCCTCCTGATCCCTGAGCCTGGGGCCTGAAACTAGATTTTTGTTCCTGTCATTACTGTACCTCTCTGACCTCCCCCTATCCCAGAAAGGGTTTCCCTGTGTAACCTTGGCTGTGCTGGAACTTGCTCTGAGGACCAAGCTGGCCTTGAACTCACATAGACCCACCTCCCAAGTACTAGGGGTTAAAGCATATACCACCACCACCTGATGCTCTCTGACATTTAAAGGTGCATTAAACTAGAAGTCAGGAGGGGTCTTGAATGTCATCAGCTCTCAGGACTGAGTTCTGATTCTCATGCTGCTATTAACTGACTAGGTCACCATGGACCAGTTGGGTAGGCTCCCGGGCCTCAGCTTCTCACATGTGCACAAATGAGCTCATGACTAGATGCTTGTCAAGTTTCTTTCCAGGTATCTGTTCTTGTCCTAATGCATTCCCTTGCCGGATAATGCTCTACAGAAAAAGACTCCCACATTGAAGTTCATTATAATGGGGTTGCCAACCTATGTCTAAAGTAGAGTGACTGGAAAGGACAAAAAGAAAATGGAGAACACATCAAATACATTATCAAAGACAACCATGCCCTTTAAACAAAAAGATCACAAGACAATCAGAATAAAAAGCATTGCCTCTACTTTCAGTTGCACAATACTCCACCAATATATACTTATATAGTTTTTTTGTTGTTGTTGAGAGTATAACTTCATTCAAGTCTAAACTTTGCACATAACTTTTATTGATGCTATTTCTCCATCTGTCCTTTCAGAGCCCAGTTGAAATCTTAGCCACCACTGGGCAGCTGGGCAGCCCTCAGCCCCTAAGCTACCTAGGACCTCACCTTTCTCTGTTATTTAATTCGGGATTGGATTTCTTCCAGCTTAAACATAAATGTTTGACTATGTTATCATTAATGGGAGAGGAGAGAGTGAGCTAGAACACATGCACCATAAAAACAGAAGCAGACAGCACCTGGGAAGGTAGACAGCAGGAGGGACCCAGGGAGGACTGTGTTTGGGGAGAGAGATAGGTTTTATGAAAACTGTAAAAGCATGTATTAAAAAAAGACCATGGAAACCCATGATTCTGCATGCTCACTTCAGTTTCAGTATCAGGAAACATCATTCCTACATTATAGTTATTCATTTGGACCCCACAAAAGTGATTTACAATGTGAATTTGTTGCCATGTTACGGATAAGAAACAAACACAGGAATGAAATAGTCAGTGCCAAGCTCGGCACTGACTTGGGTTCCGTAGCCTCACGCTCATGCAGATTTATGTTTTAGGTAAAGATCACTTTTAGAAAACAGTTCTTCCATTACACTATTCTAGAGATTTTTCCCAACCTGAAAAGGAGGTGATACTGAGATCATGCGCACAGCTTGCTTGGATCCAGCAGTTGTGGCCTCTCTTCTTCTCGCTCTCTCAGAGAGTAAGCTGCATAGATCCTGATAGCTCACTCAGCCCTAAGAGCTTGAGCACGTGGTCAAGAAACTCGCCCTCATGACTACACTTTAGCTGAGAATTGCAGTGTTAATAGAATGACCTCTAATAATCACTCTGTATCAAAGCTCCCCAACCATCCCAGCCCCGCCCTTGTGTAACTGTCACCTGACCACGTAAGAGCTGATGAAGGATGTCCACATATTTTAGTTCCTGGGTTTATTAGACTCCTTTATCTGAACTGAACCCTTCCCCTCATTTTCATTGTTGCTTGGTATTAACCCTTTTGAGGAGTCTAGACAAATCGTTCCACATCTGAATTTGACTGGGAACAAAGCATTCATAAAAAGTGATACAAATACTTTTTTCTAGCCATTGGGAATAATGTGTCCATCTCTTAATCCACCCAAAGATCCATCTCCAAGCAGGAACCAAAACGAACAGAAAAGGCTTCCCACCCCTCGTGAGAAGGGACACTCCAGAGTTGTCACGTGACATGAAAACAGACATCCTTTGACTCAGCAACAAAATGCAAAATTTCCAAAGCCACATGCCAAAGGACCTGATGAAGAAATTGTTTCCTTTTTATTTACCAATGTAGGAGATTTTAAAAAATAAAACACGGCCAGGCGTAGTGGCACACACCTTTAATCCTAGCACTCAGGAGGCACAGGCAGGCAGCTCTGAGTTCAAGGCTAGCTTGGTCTACAGAGTGAGTTCAGGACTGCCAGGGCAGATTAGGGAAATCCTGTCTCAAAATACAAAAAAAAAAAAAAAAGTTAATAATAAGGACACCAGCTTTCAGTGCACAAAATTACTTGGCATCTCCTAAGTAGAGGCCATTTTGGTAGGAATAACAATCCGAGAAAAGATCGAAAAAGAATCAATTATCCAAAGGGGACATCAGGCCATTTTCTACTGATTATTAACCATTTCTCATTTGGCTGTGGGCTGTGACAACTTTGTCGTGAATGGGCACAAGAGCTCAGACCCACTGACCTAAACAAGGAGCCAACTTGCCAGAAGGGCATGAAAGTGTTTGGTTTGCTCTCCTGAATGAAAGTATTGCGTGCTGGATCTGCAGCTTCTGAGAGAAAAGACTGAGCAGAAAGAGAAGCCCGGGAGGCCTGAAACAGGCCACCAGCAAACATGCCACCTCCTGGGTTGGACAGTGCCCCCCACCCACCTCCAGTGTTCTTACCATCCCTGGAGCCTGGCAGCATGTCCTGAGAGGAATGCTGGCTTGAGGGACACTGGCCCCTCCTCAGCCTTGCTACCTCCTGGCTGCTGCCTTCCAGCCTCCTGGCCAGATCTTCACGCTCTTGTTCCAAATGCCTCTTCTCTTCCTCTAGCGCTGACTTGTCTCTCAGGAGGTTGTTATAGGCCACCTCTAGCTCTCTGGCTTGGGTCTCCAGCTGGTCTCTTTCTCTCCTCAGGGCACTGAGCTGGCCCTGCAGCCCCTCCTGGGCCTTCTGGGTCCCAGCAGTCCGGCCCAAGGTCAGTTGGTGGAGCAGACTCTCCAGGGAGCTGAGCCGGGCTTTGGTGGATTCTAGGTCTGCTTGCTGGCTCCTGCTGGCTCTCTGAAGGTCTTGGATGATGGCTGACGTGGCCTGGTCTTCCATGGGGCAGCTGGATTCATTGGGGCTAGCCACAGTGAAGGTGTACTGGCACCGGCCGCTCCGATCATTGGCCTTTCGGAGCTGTGCTGCCCTGGCCCCCATTCCCCACACCAGGCAGGCCAGAAGCAGCAGCTGGAGAGCTGGCATCTTGGGACCACAGCTGCAGCAGCACGCACAGAGGAGGCACCGGTGTAGAGGCTGGGTGAGGAAGGTACTGCTGTAAGGTGTCGGGATGGGTGGCCCTGCTGGCTCAAGCCTGAGGTCCAAAGAGGTTTATGTATCCTGGGGAGCCCTGTGTGGAGGGAGGGAGCGGTGACCACGTGAAGCTGGGTTGGGCCAGCCATGGGGGAAGGAGGGCTTTGCGGGGGGGGGGGGGGGGTACACCCACCCCGCCAGCAAGATTCTTAGAAAATAAAGTGCCAGAGACTATTTAGAATTGATTTTTTGGAGCCCCCTGCATGTACCGCACACCCCACCAATACCCCCTGAGTTTCTAGCCCGTTCGTGTGTACATGTGCGTACACGCCCACCCTGTCTGGCAGGAGCAGCTGCTTGTATGCTCGTTTGAACAGAGATGTAAGTCTAGTTCATGTTTCACTGGACCCCTGCACTCTGGACCAGTCAGTGTGTAAGGAGCCGGGGAAACAGACATGCCCGAGCAGACGTGCCCTGAGGCAGAGGCAGAGACAGAGGCAGAAGAAGAGCCTAGCACCCACAGGCTCCGATGGAGAGCCGAGAGCAGGATTCTTTCCCAACCCTAGGTTTAGCATCAGTACGCGTACGTCCTTAGAAAGACTCCCTAACTACAGCCTCTTGTCTCAGCCAATGCTCTGGACCAGGTTTCATGATGAGTGTGCCCCCAAAAACCTACCGGCAAAACCTGTGCACCCATCTCTGAAAGATGTTTCTAAACCTATACAAAGAACCAAAGAAACACATCATGAAGTTACAAATATGAAAATACTTAAACACCTGAAATATATGCTGTATAAGATATTCTATATAATATTTAATTTTGAAGGACTTCTGAGCTTATATAATGTTTCACGAAACCTGTATCAATGTAATATAGGAATGAAAATATCCGTGTTGTTAGAATAGCTTTAGCTCTATGGATACATCCAGGATGAGGTGAAATAACTGAATGAGAAGGTTGTGAAAATGAAGTTGAAATCTATTTACCAATTCAAAAAATTCATGGGCTTTAACCTAATAATACCTACTTTTCAAAGTAAACCAACTAATTTGAAGGCTAATATGGGGGGATTGTTTAAGTCTAAAAAAGGGTTCAGGGATAATTGGGCAATAGAATGAGACTTCCTTTCCTAAGTAAACAAATGGCAACCAACACACACACACACCTTCCTCCAAAAGAAACCCAAAGGAAAAAAATCAATTGAAAAAAGCTTAGCAGCAGTGTCAAGTGTCAGGCACTGTAGAAAGTTCATGCAAGTCAGTGCATGAGAGGAAGCCTCACGAGAAACTTTACTTATTGGTATGTGTGTATATGGCCATGCTGTTCATGTGGAGGGCAGAGGACGACTCTTGAGGGCCAGTTCTCTCTTCCAGTTGGGGGGTGGGGGAGACCTGGGGATCGAACTCGAGTTGTCAGGCTTGTGCAGAAAGCCCTTTCACCCACTGAGCCATCTCACCGACCTCTTCACGAGGATCTTACAGCAACATTTGCATTTGAGCAATTTTAGGCTCTCAGATACTAATGGCATCTTCAACGTTTGGGTAATAAGGATTTCTGATGTCCCCTAACAGATTCGCCTGAGGACTGAACAAGCGCATCTTGCTCTAAACATGTTCTTCTTGTGTGGGGGTGGCGGGGCATGTATGTGTATGCGTTCATCTGAGTGTCTGGGTATGCGTGCAGAAGCCAGGAGCTGGTATTGAGTGTTGTCTTCTGTTACTCTCAACTCGATTTATTTTTTTCTCATATTTTATAGTTTTTATTTATTACAATTTATTCACTTTGTATCCCAGCTGCAGCTCCCTCCCTTGTCTCCTTCCAATCCCACCCTCTCGCCCTCATCTCCTCCCATGCCCCTCCCCAAGTCCACTGATAGGGGAGGTCCTCCTCCCCTTCCCTCTGACCCTAGCCTATCAGGTCTCATCAGGACTGGCTGCCTTGTCTTCCTCTGTGGCCTGGTAAGGCTGCCCCCTTTCAATGGCTCAATTTTATTTTTTGAGACAGAGTCTCTCACCAAGCCTGGAGCTCACTGATTTGGTTAGCTTGCCAGCCAGCAGGCACCGGGTATCCTTCTGTCTCTCTCATCCCACCGCTGGAAAAGTGCTATACTCCTGGCTTTTAATTTTGGTGCTGGCTTTCAAACTCAGGTCATCAAGCTTGCATAGCAAGCCTTTTACTGACTGAGCCATCTACCCTGCCTCACGAACTGTTATTGTTATGCAGGAACTTCTAAAGTAAACCTGAGCCCAAGACATTAATGAATGGCTCCTTTTCTACTGCTGACTAAACAGGGCTCTTCTTTCTTCGGGATCGCTGAAAATGATTCTTTAAAAAAAAAAAAAAATCATATAGTCAGCAGGAATGAGGCTCAAATCTGCTTGCCTTTTCTCCTAGGGAAATTTCTTTCTTCAGAAAAGACCAGCATGATTCTTGTCCTGCCAGCTGCAGAGAAGAATTCTGGGAAAGAAGGCTGTAAGTAAGAGGGGCCACTTTGCTTCTAAAGGAAGAAGACAGGACAAAGGCAGGGCTTTGCCTTTGTCTTCAATCAGTTTTCCTCCTACAGCACAGCTTGGGACCCACCAGGCCTTTGCAGTCACTTCCGCATTGCCCTTTGTTGAAGATCTGTCCCTTTCACTCACTGTCTACCCCTCTTCATTGCCAGCGAGCTGCAGGCTCAATTGCAGCATCTCAGTCCTTGTCCAGCTGTGTGGGTGCTGCTCAGGGGTGAAATGGACAGCAGCCCCTGCCATTTCCACTCTTTCCAGCCCCACTTGTGACTGTCAGGCACAGACTACCAGTTGCTCTCTGCTCTCCTTGTGGTTGCTGGCTTAGGGGAAGAACAGGAGAGGTTGTTGAATCTGCTTCTTCAGCCACTCTGGCTCCCTGTTGTCATTTCTCCCCCACCTAGGGTGGTAGGTAGGGGAGCTCATGGAGCTTCCACATTCTGCCTTTTCATTGCTCCGTGGTTTGAGCTCAGCTTCCTGCCAGCTCTCAGCTTCTCCTTCACAAACAGAAGGTCGAGCCACAGGCCCTTTGAGGTGAGCAAACTGAAGCCAGAAAAGCAGAGGGTCCTGCTCAGGGTCTCATAGCCCATGAATGGCAGAGACAGAAGGAAAACCAAGTCTCCTGATCCCTAAGCTTCACCTTCTTTCATCAGCCAAGTCTGAGATACTACCCACTACTTGCCTAGAAGTCACGAGAGATGGCAGTCACTTCTTCCATGAGCCAGTACTCTAGGAAATGAGCTTGCTTCCTCTACCTCTGGTAAATGAAGGCCTCCAATGCCAGAAAACTCACAGCACCCTTGAGCTTTTAGCAAATGATTTTGTGAAACTGCATCCTTTCATGAGATAGAACATGCTCCTCTGGGCACGGAAGAGGGCGCCCTTGGAGAAACAGGGGCCACCCCACTCCACCAACAGCAATGAACATCTGGTGAGATTTAGCCTACCCTTTTGACCTTCCTGTCACTCCAGGCAGGCCAGCGGCCCCACACCCCACAATTCCACCTCCTGGATTTTTGGACACTGAGACTCTTTTCCCACTGAGGAAACACAGTTCACTCCAAATTTTCAGTTAAACCATATTCCATCTCCATTTCCTTTCTGGAACCAGAAGCCAAGAGCCAGGAGCCAGGAGCCAGGAGCCAGGAACCAGGAGCCAGGAGCCAGGGAGTCTCCAGCTCGTAGGTGCCAGGAAGATGCTCAGGGATGTGTCAGGCCAGCTGCAGTCCAGTTGTTATTGATAAAATTTGCAGTGTGCACGCCTGGAGAGGTAGTGGCAGCAGGGGCCTCTAGGGAGGTGACATTATTCAGGGGTGTCTTGTATGAGCACTCAAGGTTGCATTTGCTTCTCTTCTTTTAGCAATGGGTTTAAATTGATTGGATACTGTTTTTTTCCTGTGGGTCTCCCGTAAGAAACGATGACCCTCCAGTGATGAGCTGGTGCTGCTGGTTTTCTTTCTTTTCCTGTTGCTGATGAAATAGCTGGATGAAAGCAACTTAAAGAGAAAAGGGTCGAATTTATCTCACAGTTTAAAGGTACAGTTCATCATGCTGGGGGAAGTCAAGACAGCAAGGGTTTAAAGCAAATAATCACATTACATCCGCAATTGAGAAGCCAAGCATGGCTATTCGTGCTTTTTAAAAAATTTTTATTTGTTTATTATTTATTACAATTTATTCACTTTGTATCTCAGCCGTAGTCCCCTCCCTCATCTCCTCCCAGTCCAACGAACCATGGGCCTTTTCACTTCAGTTAATCTAATCAAGGTAATTCCCTATAGGTTTGCCCTGAGGCTAAGCCAATTTAATAATCCATCATAGATATGCCCTGATGCTTGTCTCCTAGGTGATCCTAGATTCTGTACAGTTTGTAACCCTTATGATCATGACTGCTTTCTCAATAAACTTTCAATGGTTGGATGGATGGATGGATGGATGGATGGATGGATGGATGGATAGGTTATGCAGAAGGTATGGTGGCCTATGTCTGTAATCCTAACATTCAGGAAGCTGAAGCAAAAGTACTGTAAATTGAAGGCTAGGCTGAACTACATAGCAAGTTATAGTCCAGGCTGAACTACATAAAATGACCTTGTCTCAGAAACCAAGGTGACACAAGATGAGGACTAAAGACAGGCAGGTAGGCAGGCAGAAATAGAAAAGCACCCTGAGGGATGAGAGCAATGGGCGGCATCTTATAGGCTCCCGGGGACACCCTGGACCTCCTTGGTATTGCTTGCAGAGCTCCTGAAGCTGCGGGGGAAACTGGGAGGGCTTCATGGGGTGAGCTCCTCATGCAAACATACATATAGTCTCAAATGGAATGATTTTTTCATCTGCTTTTCTTCGTAAAGAAGCAGAAGGAGATTTAGCAGAGAAACATGATGAACGTGATGATGACTTAACAGCATGAAAATTAGGACCAGGAGTAACAGAGGAGAACATGCAGTTTTTGAGCTGGAATTCCTTTATTCTATCTGGCAAAACTGCCTGTGATTATAGCAGTTTTCATTTGTTCCCTGGA